ATGATGATGATGATGCTGATGATGCTGATGAGGATACTGATAATGATGATGATGATGCTGATGATGCTGATGAGGATACTGATAATGATGAGGATGCTGATGACGATGAGGATGCTGATGATTATGAGGATGCTGATGATGCAGATGAGGATACTGATAATGATGAGGATGAGGATGCTGATTCTGATAGAGGTGATGATGATGCTGATAATGTGGATCCTAAAGATAAAGATGAGGATGTTGTTGATGAGAATGCTGATGATGAGGATGATAATGATGAGGATGCCGATGATGCTGATGACAAAGATGATGCTGATGCTGATGATGAGTTGTTTTTCTTTCAATTAAAATGTGCTGTAAACAGAAAATAAATGAAAGACTGTAAAATGATATCTTCATATCGAATTTTTAATTAAAACATTTTTTCTTATTTATAGTTATGATTCTTTTATAGACGAGCCATTACCATCCACCCTTTATTATACCCACATCAATCTCTCTGTTTCAGGATCACTCAAACATGGTCTGGTTGGGGTTTGTAGTTGGTGCTGTTGGACCCTCAGAAATGTCCAAAGTTTTCTCATCTTGCTTGTTTTGTTGGTTTTCCTGTTCATGGATGTATAAAGATGCTGATTATCGATCTAATGATGCTATAGATACAATTCTTGCCTACTATAAGTTTAGTATTCTGGAGATTTTATACTGAGAGTCCGTCCAGCTGTTTTGTCCATCAACAACAACAAAAAATTATTAAAAATTGCAGAAGCATTAATTGGGTCTGGAGAGATCAATTTTGAAGGCGGCCTGAGCTGAAACTGAGAACTGGTGTTCTATCAGATGAGCAAACCACAAACACATACACAAAAAGTCAGATTTATGTTTATCCATTTAGTCATGTACAAGAAAAAGAAACAAGTTAAGGTGAAATTATCAAATGCTACGTAATTGAATAGTTTTTTTTGTAAATGACTAATGCCAATTGAGGTTATTTTTTGTAAAAAAAAAAAAAACTAAATGGATAAACTAAAGTGTTATTATTGACTATGGTCTGACGGGGTATGGTCATCTGACAGAACACCAGTACAACTATGTAAAACATATTTATTTCAAACATAAATGTTGAAATAATCACATTAAAAGCAGTCAGAGACCATTTACCCATCGAGTGGCTGCTGGTCTGTGAACAGGGACGTGGTTAAAAAGGTTAGATATTCACTATTTTAGGCTCAGAGTAGAGAAAAGTTTCAAATCAGGCTCTGTTGACAAAATGAAACACATAAATCTCTCAGATGTTTCTTCTGGTTTTATCAAACACTTCCTAGTTTTTTTGGATATTAATTTCCCAAAATCACAACAAAAAACATTCATGTTTAACAGACAGACAAGCAACCGTTATTATGAAACAAACATTAATTTATAACTTAAAATATTTTCCCCATGACCAGTTAATCTTGTAAACAGTCTCAGACTGAAAAGATTCATTTCACAGCCGAGAAAACCTTGTTTATTTCAAACCTTTTCAAAGTCCAGGTTGTCTTCGACCTGATTTATAGAATCTGTTTACGTCTGTCTACGAGTCCCTGATTATTATGCAGCTTAAAGTTTAATTGATGTAAAATGGCTTATGAATTTTAAAATTCATTCAAAGAGTCTGATGAAGCAGAGGCTGTAAAGTAGGACACATCGGCTCCCTTCAGAGCTGCATCAACTACAGCCTCAGTTCCTGCTGTCAAGCTGAGCTGCAGAGGTTTGGCTCACAGGCGCCTCATATAACCTTCACATCCAAATGTTTTCGTTTAACACAGCGACACTAATATCAGCCATTTACTTGTTCAAGATGGAATCTGGACACATTTGGAAAATGTTGACTTTGAAAACCAGTTTGAATTGTAAAAGTGTATCAAATGACACCTTCATTTCTTCTTCATCGATGTTCATCAAAGCGATGAGATTCAATTTTAATTCAATTCAGTTTATTTCTATAGCGCCAATTCACAACACGCCATCTCAAGGCTCTTCACAGTTCACTAGATCATCCAGTCTAATTGATTTAAAGTTTTCTATCTATCAGTTGATTGCATCGACTCTGACTCGAAGGCAATCCTTCACACTAAGCATGCTTATAGCGACAGTGGAGAGGAAAAACTCCCTTTTAACAGGAAGAAACCTCCTGCAGAACCAGGCTCAAAAAAAGTGGTTAGCACCAAATCTGGTGACTTTTTTCCTGTTACTGGAGACTCGGGCAGCCTATATAAAAGCAGCGAACTCTGCTCTCCAAAGCAGAATTCTAATATAATATTTAGTATGTTTCAGGCCTAAACAGACAGCAGCAAACCATTTGAAAACAAACGATGTGAAGAGCAGTGTTGCTAACCTAATGCTTTTGTCGCTATATTCAGCGACCTGTCAGACCCCTCTAGCACTTTTATTTTAAAAAAGCACCTGGTGCCAAATGTAGCGCCTTTTTTCTGCTACTGGAGACTTTGGAGACAACATCTAAAAGCAGCGAACTCTGCTCTCCAGAGCGAGTAGATTGGTAACCCCGCCTCCTGCTCTCCTCTATCTTGTCTGCTGTCATGATTCATGCAGCTATTATTTCATCCAAATGAAAAATGGAGAACAGATAAGCAGATCATGGCTTGTCTACAGTGAAAAGAAGGACTGGGTTATTTACTTTGGCCTTTTTGGAAACACAGGAAGGAGCAATCAGCTAAGTGAGCTTAGTGCTTGGAAAAAAATCTTTTTATTCCTTTAGAGACAGCATGAAAAGTCAGCTGAGTACAAAACATAGAGAGGAAAACAAGAAGAAAAGGGACAAGAAGAGAGGGACACAACCTAGAATAGATAATGGATGTCTATTCTATTAATATTTCTCTATCTGTTCAATGGGTCTGTTTTATGTGTTGTCTACTCAATTCAGAGGGCCCCCTGCCTGTCTTTGCCTAGGGCCCAAAATTTCCTAAATCTGCCCCTGACTGGCTCATATGTCTGTTATGCACCAGTTAAACTCATGGATTTTTTTCCCAGTTAAGCACACCTTATCCAGATTCGTTAAATACCGGGCTCCTAAAAAGAACCCACATCTCAGCAGTGATGATGACTCACTAGCAGTTATTTGTCATAGTTGCTGTTGCTCTGTTCGCCTTGTTTCCATACAGTAGTAGCCATTCAAACCTTCCCCACTTTCCTTGATAGGCCCTTTGCTGGTCCCCTTCAATTGCTTTTTAAACATCAATCTTTGTACTAAAATATTGTTTCTGTTACGATTTGTGGATAGTAAGATCCAAAGAGAAGAATCAACTCCTGGTCAGACCCTGTAATTCAGTGAAAGGGTGGAGTCAGAGGCAACTAATGTTTCATTGGGGTGCCCAGATGAGGCCACTAACAATCTTGTGGTGGCACATTAAAACATAAAGCAATTTTTGTTTGGATTGTTGGATTAATAATTGGTTCATTGTGTGATTGTCAATGTTACATCGCTGACTGCATAATGGGATTAAATGTTAAACTGATGCTACTCTCTGTTTCTTCCAGATGAGGGGCCGTACGGAAAAACCAAGGATTTCTCTGGACCAGAACACACCATGACGTTGAGAAGACACAGTATACCAGGTACATGGCATCTGGGCTCTGTAAACATCAACCACTGAATCCTGTCTGGTGATGTGGCAATAAGAATATTTGTCTTGTTGCCAAAAAGAGCCCAACAGATCTTGCTTTTACAATGGAGTAGTGCAGCTATCGCCATAGGGGTTGGGTTGTGACGATAGCAGGAAAGGATTGACTCAATAGACGGTATGTGGCATTGCAGGCTAACAAAAGAAGCCAAAAGACCCCCATTCCAAAGGGGTAGACCCATTCAAATGTTTCAATTAGCATGTTTTCTAAGCAAAAACAAGCATTTGTTGGGCTACTGTATAGCAACTCAATACTGTTTCTGATATTTGAATTGAAAAAGCTTCATTGATGGGAAGCAAAACGTCTTCAAACTGGGAAACAAAATCCAGTGGATTGTTGTTGTTTTTTTTTACTTTTTTGGAATGACCATGACATGGATGACTGAGAATCTTCACCAGTATCATATTGCTTTAGGTCAAGGGTCAGCAAAGTTGGGGGCCGGGCCCCATTGAGGGTCCAGAAACACTAAGTGGGGGGTTGTGTATGATCATAGATAAAAGTTAGATGTAATAATTTCATTTATATTAATACAGATATGCCCTGCGATGGACTGGCGACCTGGCCAGGGTCTACGCAAGCTGGGATAAAGCCACAGAAAATCGATGGATAACGCAGATATAAATATACTGTTAAATTATTGGATGTACAGAAAAATGTGCCGTTAAATAAAATGATAATTACATATTTCTCCCTATATTACTATCTGATTAAAGGGTGATAATAATGATGTATATCTTCACTGTTTGTTTTGGTTAGCATAGGACAGAGAACCAATAGTTAGTCTCACTTTACTTGAGAAGGTAATCACCATATCCATAGGAACAAGCCATTATTTCCTCATCAGGTAATTTGGAGCAAGTTTATAATTAGCTGCCCGTTGGTTGCTTGGCAACAGCAATACTCCTGTGACCCTTTTTGGGAACAGTGACCTTACAATTTTGGTATATTTATTACTCTAAATGGGTATCTCTCTGTCAGCTATAGGCTTGTTTTAGAGTCTCTATACTCCAGTTAACGATGAATCCATTACTTAATTAGTTGACGATTATTTAATAATCGATTAATCACAATTAATCAATTAATTGTTTCATCCATAAATGTAAGTAATATATGAGCTACGCTAGGTCCAGTAGCGCCAGCTCCTTACCACTAAAACAGCAATGTGTAACATTAAACCTTTACAGTTTGAACCTGAGTGTTTAATGAGAGTGAAGAAATAACAAAAGGTGATGAAGATGAGGAGGACAAAATGGATGAAGAGGCTGCTGCTATGAGATGCTAACCCAGATGGAAAGTTGTGCTACAGAGAGTTTGAACCTGAATCTATCGAACAGCAAAAATATCTGATGGAAACGGCCGAGTATGGAAGTAAGCTTAAAGGAAAAGTGTGGTCATATTCAGAATAGGGATGTGAAAAAAACTGGTCTTGGCAATATACCGATTTTTTTAAAGCAAGATATTTTTACCTAAACCTGAGGGAAAAAGGGCTACCTTTTTACCGCCACTCTGGCAGATAGTGCTGTGGAGCCCTTTGGCTGTGTGGTGCAGTGCCATATCTGTAGTTAAGGCAGTCACAGTGCTGTATCTGGTGTTTGTCACAACGCCCTATTATCCAAGTCATCTAGACAACATTCTTCTTCCAAATGTTGGCTACATATGGTCATAATGGGCTTTAAAGATCTGACACACATGCAGAGAACCACTCAGAGACCAAGGGTAAAAGTTTAACAGGTTTATTGTAGGTTAGCAAACACAGATGGAGATTGAAACTCTGTGGAAAAACAATGCTGGAACTCAGCGGACTGGTGAACTGGAACCGGAAACTCTGAAGGGAAGATCACAGTGATCTGCCCCTGAAGTGAGGCCCTCACTTGGGGGTGGTGGATCTTGGTTTAACCTTGGATCCAGTTTGTGGGGGTTTAATCCAGAGAAGAGGGAACTCGTTGGAGAGCGGACAGGCAGACATACGTTGGACCCAGAGGAGTAAAGGAGCGGACTGTCACTTGGTTTTCCAGGGGTGGACTTGAACGGATCATGTGGAGGTTTTCCCCTTGCTCAGTGAGACTCAGTAAATCCTTCCAGGGGTAGAAGGTCCGGGCTTATCCAGTAACACAGGGAGTCTTCCTGCCGAAGAACAGAGACAAAAAAAGAAGTTCAGACCCAGAGAAATAATGCTAATGTTAGACTCTGCTAATCTCAGTTGGGCTAGAGTATGACCCAACGAGCCGCAGGTGTGCAGGGAGGCCCAACGAGGACAGGGCACCGCAAAAAACAACCCACACAAACTGGAATTCTAACACATATTATGCGTTTTTTCTCTGACCAGAAATTTAATGGCAAATCCTCCCTCTTCAAATTTGCAATCCAACAACAAACCTGTCCGTGGAGGATCATGAGTCGGAAAGGTGAAATAACTAATGTTTTTTCACTTTTATCCGATGTATTCCAGCATCCAGCTGCCATGCATGTGGGCATTGTCAGTTTCACTATAGCTCTGGTGAATTTCAATGGTGAAGTCCTCTGGAAATCTTCAATAATTGTTGTTGATTGCAGATGTGTCTAGTAGTTCCCATTGATTTAGCTTGTAAAGCGGGGAGAATGGCGCTAGGCTTACCGCACCGTGACGTCACTGCTGGAAGATGGCAGGAGGGAGGTGGTACTATATTTGGGCAAAAATGGCCGCTCCCGGACTCAATGATCCGTGAAAATTATTGTTTTTGTTTTTTTACTGATTAACACTAAATTCATTAAATCAGTGCGAACGTATTTGTTTTAGGTATAAATAATGATCCATTGATTATTCCTTGCTGACCGGTCTTTTCCTTAAAACTATGGCAGAGTGATCTGTATCAACAATTTTTGACCTAAGTTTCTAAATGGTGAGACAACTGTAGTTAAAAGTTTCAATAATGCAGCGAAACAATTATGGTTCTGAGCTAACTGTAACAAAAACCCCTCTTTATATTGTGGGATTTACTGTACAACATTAAAGCTTTGGTAATGTCGTCTTAGAGAACAACACCAATTCCCGAGAGATTTGATCTGATGCAGCTAATCAAAACTGTTCAGAAAGTCCAGGAATAGATGTCACTTTGGAGATAACAGAGGTTTGAAAACAGGTTATACTGAGTTCATATTGTTTATAGGGTAGTCTAATGAAGTGTGCAGGGAATATGGCCCTGAGCGCTACATGGTTCGCTCTGTGTGGGAGTAGTGGGATGGTGAATAGTTTCTTTGTTTTCATTGAGGATTAATTAGTTGGGTTCAGTAAAAAGTTTTTCCTAAAATCTCCATCTCAAAGATCTGTCAGTGTGCCATCAAACAGTCTCAGTTACTGAGCTACTTTTTCTCTTCTATCAACGGATATAAATAAAGAAACGCATTCAAAGCTTAGTTCATGTGGACCAAACTGGATTCATTCAAAATCTATTTGACAACATAACGCCTCCAATAGAGCAAATGGTCCTCCAGCAATTCCTGTATCACTAGATATAGAAAAGACCTTTGACCATGTAGAGTGGCAGTACCTTTAAGAGGTGTAACATTAAATTAAAGTTACATGAAAATGTAAATAATACTCTTCAGTGCATCTTGATAGCAGTTTTAAAGCTTGCATACATTTTTTGGGGGGGCCCCGATATTAATGTCTTTCATGAGGCCCCAAATTCCTGGCAGCGCCCCTCAATCCGAAGGCCTAAACTTTACTTCACCTGTTAAATATCTACTTAAATTCTTCGTCTTATTTTGTTCAGATTTGAAAAACGTTTTACCTTTTGTTTTTAGGCATTTAATCCTACCGAAATCCTCAGATCATTTATTGAACAACAATAAGTTAGTGTACCACAGAAGACCACAGATCAGTAAACAGTTTCCAGTTTTATCAGTCAGTTCTGTCTGCTTTTATTTAAAAAGAAAAAGAATAAAGTCAGAATCCAATAACTTTTGTTGTTGTGTATTTGGTGTTGTCTTTCTCTTGCCCTCATTTTTCTGTCGTGTGTCTGCGTGGCTGCACGCCTGTATGGTTTTGGTTAGAAGCTCTGCGGGGGGTGACCATGGTGGAGCTGGTGAAAAAAGAAGGTAGTACGCTTGGACTCACCATCTCCGGAGGAACTGACAAGGATGGGAAACCCCGGGTATCAAACCTTCGGCCAGGGGGGCTGGCAGCCAGGTGGGTGTTGTCATATTTCGGGATCAGCAGTCTTACTAGATCCATGCACCTTTATAGACGGAGGATGTGCAAAAACTTACCACACACAACGCTAATCAGTGATCGTCAGCATTTTATGCCATTGGCCGGGGGTTTTTACTTTTGTTTTATAGCATTTCAACATATATTGCAAAGATATATATCATATAAAATAAATTCAATTTATCCCCATATTTTCTTTGTCATTATTTTTAAATAATTTAGATTTTTTATTAAATCAAACCCCATGTCTTACAACTTCATCTTTCTTTCAAGGCCAGCAAAACATCACCTAATTTCAAAATGGCAGAACCAAAACGTTTTGCACGTCTTAAGTTTGCATGTGCAAATCTTTTTCATTCATCTGCAACACACCCACTGGGTTTGATTTTTTTGGTCCACTCATTTTAGCGCTTTTTATTCGATTTCTTTGAAGATCAGGCTCTCAAAGAGAAATACAGTTGTGGAAGCATGTTTTTCCTCGGCCTTGTTGGGGTGAAAGGAAGGCTACAGTAGTAGTGATAAAAGATAAGTGTTCAAAGTTTCCTCATTTTTCTTCATGCGGTGAACAGAAGACACCTGTTCTGAAATCTTTATCTGACCAGTGAAAGACATATTAACCTATTAAACTTGATGAACTGAAGTTGTTTTCCTCCAAATGTTCGTGTGAGAAAGTTCTTTATGCAGGGGTGGGATGGTCCCAAGGGAAAGTGCGTTGGGATTTGTACAGTATACACTCACCGGCCACTTTATTAGGTACCCCATGCTAGTAACGGGTTGGACCCCCTTTTGCCTTCAGAACTGCCTCAATTCTTGGTGGC